ATTTGAGATGAAAGAAGTGATTTTAAATGTGTTCATGAAAGAGATGGAAGAAATTGAGACATCGACTGTCGACGAAGTCGTATCGAAAGTTTCTGATAAAATTGAAGTGTGTTGCGCTTCGATTTATAATGTTTCAGAATCGTCAAAACATTATAAAATCAATAGATGATGCTGATAAACATGCAATCAGGAGGAAAGTGCATGAGTACTTTTTCAGAAATGAAATACCCACGATAGACAAAGTACTCACAGAAATAAATGAAGATGTTTTATTGCCAAGTTTCAAGCGGTCAACATTCCATAAAGTATTGAAACATTTGAATTTTGTATGGAAAAAACGAGGGCGCAATAGTTTATTATTGGATAGAAAGGAAATTGTGTTATGGAGGAGAGAGTATTTGACCAAAATTAAATATTATAGGGAACAACAGAGAACAATTTATTATATGGATGAAACCTGGGTTAATGCTGGTCATACTACCCCTAAAGTATGGGTCGATGGAACTGTGACCTCATCTAGGAGGGCCTTTCTAGATGGACTATCCTCCGGATTAACAAATCCATCAGGTAAACTTATATTTATATTAAGACCTGTCTCAATCTCAATATATAAAAAGTAACCCTCGTATTTGTTTTATTTACTTACATACTTCTTCATAATTTCAAGTAAAGGAAAACGGCTTATTATTTGTCACATCGGCAATGAGAATGGGTTTGTTGCTGAAGGACTGTGGTGTTTCGAGTCGAAGAAAACTGGAGATTATTACGAAGAAATGAACGGTGAATCTTTCGAACAGTGGTTTTCCAAAGTTCTACCCCATCTGGAGGATAATGCTGTGATTGTAATGGACAATGCACCTTATCATTCGCGACAATTAGAGAAGATTCCGACAACGTCTTCAAAGAAGGTTGAAATCCAAAATTAGCTCCGACCAAAGAATATTAGCTTTAAAGACTCAATGCTAAGAGTACAGCTACTAAAAATTGTCAAGGAGCGCAAGCTTGACTATCAAAAATATATAGTCGATGAGATGGCAGCAGGCCAAAACAAAATTGTCCTTCGCCTGCCTCCATACCACTGCGAGCTCAATCCCATCGAGTTAATATGGGCGGATGTGAAGAATTTTGTAGCTCAGCATAACACCACGTTCAAATGTGCAGATCTCAAAGTACTTTTTGATGAGGCTTTGAAAAGAGCCACAGCGGAGAAATGGGAGAAGTGTGTTCGGCATGTGATATCGGAAGTCGAGACAAAGATGTGGAAGCTTGATAACATAATAGAGGCACAAATCGAGCCACTGATACTTCAGATTGGTGAGGATGACACTACTGATGAAGAGACAAATTCATCCAGTTTAATAATTTTGATTAATATTCCTTTTGATTTTAGTACATAAAATAAAAATTATCAATAAAGAAATAATTACGTCTCTTTTCATATAATGCTTGAGTGCGCTGTGAAAAATCCAATGAAAATATTATTATATTACACATATTATCTGCATTTTTCCCGTTGAACTGCAAAACTTGTGCATTTCACTCGTTATTATAAAAAAGTTTTCCCAAGTATGATATAGCATTTGCGATCAACAAGATGTTGGTTCTGAATACGACCCTGGGCCATTCTTGGGATTTTTAATATCACGTGCGTAGGGCATGTCAATGTTTACATCCACTCTATCTTGGATTTGAATTTGCTTTAGTTGCCTAGAAAATTGTTTTATATGAACATATATTGTGAAATAATAGATAAGGCAAAATTGTAAAATTAATTCAGGTTGGTATACCTGTATGGGTGGTACGCCTGGATGGTTTATCTGTATGGGATACCTATATAGCATAAATAGGGTTAGCTCGCATTAGTTTCTAGTTTTAATATCCCTCTTTGAAGATGATCACTTGGTGATCGAAACACGTGTCGAGGTGTTGAAAATAACGATTTGGTGTTGGGAAAAAATTCCAGTAATGTTCATTAATGTGTTTATCTTCAGGAAATTATTAAATGTTCCGCTATTTTGTAGTAGGTGAAGATATTGGCTCCATATTCTAGGGTTTTGAAGCATTTGCCAGGAGCCTCAAAAAGATGTATCACAAGACCCCCATTTCCATTGAATTTTCATTTCCCAGATGGCATCCACTCGCCAACTGAAAGTTTCATCTGTCAATTTCACTTCAAAATAAAGTATTCATGCATTAATTTCATTATCCCAAATTTCAATTTTTTTAGTTGACCCGTTCAAAAAATAAAAGGGGGGGACATTAAAGAAATGCACTGTATACTTATCTAAGCATTCATTGCAAATGAAAGTTTTTTAATACAGCTCCAAAACCACTGTCGCGTATAATAGTTGTCAAAAAAAAACAACTTTCAAAGCTTAAAAACTGAGAACCATCAATAAAGCAAAATGTAAATTTATGCTAATCTTGTTTGAAATACTGTTCAATTCAATAGAGTTGATTCAGTTATCGTTACGTTTTCAACAGGTGTGAATGAGGATGTGAATTGATTGAGAAATAATGGGTTTCTTGTTCAGTGGAAATTTTATTGATTTCGGTGAATGTTGTTATGGTTCACATGTGGATACATCCGGATTACCGTGATCTGTGACCTTTTACAAGTGTTTTTGAAAAAAAGACTGGTACATTCACGAATTGTTAATACACTTTTTGTTCCAGGACCACTTTCAGAAGATACTTACAATTTTTATTTATGGGTAGTCCACTGCTTTCGTCGCTTTTTTTTGAAATATTTCTTTTTCATATGTACGGATCGATTGGCTAATGAAAAAGAAAAGCAGAACTTTTATCTTCTCAATTTAAACTATATCCATCCAACAAAAAAGCGAGCCAAACGATAGATGCGAGATCACTACGCACTTCTGCATCTTTTGGGTGAAATAAACAAGCCTCTTTAAGCTGGCCAATCAGATTCAACTGCAATCGGCTGGCAGAATTCATTGTTACAGTGTGTCGGTATGGTCAGTTACGTTTTAACTGCTAATTTGTCTCTCTACAGTCCACCTAAAAAAATACTATACCCAGCTGCATATTATTAAAAAAAATCGGTCGTTCCTTAGTGCGACTCCCAACAAGCAGCCTTGTCTGGGCGATCAAGTACACTGTGCATGATAATGTTTTGGAGCACTCCGTTGCTTGGTTGGACAGAGTATAGTTAGTCTGTTTCTAACAAGGACGCAACTATACGTACATTCAAAATAATTCCACTTCATTATTCTTCAGTGAACCAGAAATCAAGAACATTTTGCGAAACATAAAGAAAACCTATCAGTTTATCAAAGTGAGATAACCACTTGAAATTTTCTCTATGAATTTTTATCACGTTCTATAAACGTGTTTGAAGGTCAATTTTTTTTTCGCAAATTAAGCTATCGACAGTTGTGCGTTTTGAGATAGTGGAGTAACTGAATGAAATGTTTATTGAAATGATGATATTACTACACGGGCTGAATCATGAGTCTTACACACATCATGAAATTTCAAGACTCCTGTTTTAAGCCCAGTCGCCCAGTCGCCATCTTGAAATTTTCCCAAATTTCAATTTTTTGAGTTGACCCTTTAAAAAAATAAAAGGGGGGACATTAAAGATATGCACTGTATAACGTTATTGGAGCGTTTAAAAGCCGAAATTGCAAAGACACAACAGCGTATGATAAAAAAAATTGTTTCATCAAGACAACGCACTACGAACTTCGAATTGCTTCCACATCCACCGTATTCGCCAGATTTAGCTCCCAGCGATTACTGGCTGTTCGCAGACCTCAAAAAAATTCTCACCGGTAAGAAACTTCGCTACAATTAAGAGGTTTTTGCTGAAACAGGCCTATTTTGAGGTGAAAGATAAATTGTTATACAAAAGTGGCTCTTGATGGAGATTACGTTGAAGAATAAAGCCAATTTTGAACAAAAAAAAAACGCTTTGTCTTTCTCAACTCCGGCACTTTTCAGCCCATGTGTCGATATTAGCGAAGTAGTCTAGTTCAGATGTACTTTTTGTTTGTAACATTTTTCAGCCCTGTCCAAAAATTGCGACCAAGGTGTCATTCGATTCGTATTTTTGCCTAGAAGGTGTAAAGGAAAGGTCCGAAAACGCGCCGATAAAAATTACAAAAGTTATAAACAATTAAGTTAAAAACAAATGGGGCTTTAGTTTTTTCTTAATATCTCGGAAAATTTTCAAAATTTTGGAAATTT